ATTCTGTGATTCCGTGATTCTGTGATTCCATAATTCTGTGATTCTGTGATTGTTTATTCATGTTGGTTTAGGTCTACAATAATCTCACACTTTCTTCTGACAAATTTCTACCTAACCTACTGTATTATTGTAGCTGATCATTCCTGTCTACGTGTAGGACCATGCACTTGATCTTACAGAATTGCGTCCTACTGTTTTAAGGCAACTTCTTTAGCTACATCAGGATCATTTTGAGGTTTGTGTTCTCCGGTGCACATGCAGCCCGTATCACCTGCAATATACTCTCTATTGCAAAACTCAGAGCCTTTTGAGAGAGACAAAGCCAGGATTTCAGTGTTTCCCAGTGTGTCTCTGGGAGGATGTTATCCCAGGTGGGAAATCTCAGTTTCATGTGGCAGGAAGCACTACATTTTTCTGTCCTTCCTGGAGGCTGGACAGGGCTTACGTTTCCTACAGTGGATCAGCAAGTGGAGGTGAATTTCAATGTAGGTAAACAGTATCAGCAGTAGTAATCCCTTAATTTTCACTGTGTGCCTAAGAAAAAAAGAAGCTGAATTTTTTGAGGTAGGGGCAAGATTACGATGAAGAGTGGGAAATTTAGCTCCAAAGAAGTTCAAAAAGAGGTCTAGAAACTACTAATCTAAATGGTGTGTCAGTCTATGACTGATCCCCCATTCTCACCTGGAAGGACTGTTTAGAATACCAGCACCTTTACCTGTTTATCATAGAGGTGTTTATGCTTTTGACCTGCTGGTGGTTATTGCTAACAATATTGTTGCGGTTTTCAAAGGGAAAGGTTGCAAAAACGACAAAACTTACCTACATGTAGATAAACAGGCACTTCTTTATTGCAGCTCTGGGAAGCATGGAAACCACCCAATACTTCGGATATATTACAAAAATTCAGCCTATTTATACATCTTTTATGCAAAATTATGATTTTAACATATTTTAACATAAACGTGCATACAATGCCTACTATTAATTTTGACCTATGTAATGATTGGTTCAGCCCCTATTAATATTCATATATCTTATTTCCATATAATCATTGGTGGTTGTGGTGAGACCACATTTGTTCACAAAGCACACAGAGATAGGGAGCCATGCCCATGTATATTGATCTGTCTAAGTGAAATATGCTAATATTATTAAGGTGCAGGTGCAGTGCTACAGATCTGGCTTTGCCAAGTACTAGACTCTAGCCATTTTCATAAGGCCTGCATCTGTGATTTCTTAGCATAAGTGAGGTTTTGTGTATTCCTTATCCTTATCAACAAACTAATTTAATTGAGACAGCGATTAGTATTCATTAAACAATTAGCTCTTTAAAACTTAAATTTAATGGTAACAGTATCACTAATTTCCACATAAATAAAGGGCATGAGCTAATGTTCAGTGAGGCAGATTAGTCCAGAAAGTGCCAGTCTCATCACTAGGTGGGTTTGTTCAGCACCCTGAGGAGAGTATCTCCAAAAAAATCATCTTCTAATTTCTGCCTGTGAATGATAGCTTCAAGCCTCATAGGTTTAGAGTTGAGGCTCTTACTTTTCAGCCTCTGGAGTCTGATTACTCCTGGCTCTTAGAGCAGTGTGCCTGTTCTTGGCTGCACAGAGACCGAAGCAGGAGGTCAGCTCAGGCTAGTGTTCAGATTGATGTTTCTGCAACGTAGACCTACCTCAACCTGTTGAACAGGTAAAACTGAAGAACACCAGGGGATGACTTCATACGTAGCCGTAGACGTATACTATTAGTATTACTAATTACATAGATCAGCAACGCTTAAAAACTTTTACATAAATTGTTTCTGGTTTTGTTACAATTGTCTTTCCTGAGCAGCTCTTTGACTGACATGAAACAGATGCAGAGAGAAAAGTGTCTGTCTCACATTGCTCCCTGATTTCATTCTGTCAGAATGTAAAAATTGCAATGAAACTATGAAATATTAGATTTCTACTTTTCATTGCAGGTGAAGGACTGTCAGGAAGATCTGTAGAAGTTATCCTTGCTGTTACTTTGTGTATACTTTCAGTTGTTCTCTTGGTGGCAGCAGTATATGCTTTTGCAAGGTGAGATCTATGTATCCTTGCCATACCATGTTTGCAAGCACTCAAAAAAGTTTTAAAGAAGAGTTGAAACTGTACTATAAATAGAACCAATACATAATTTCAAATTTTTTTTTTAATTTTACATAGAAACTTAGGGAGGGACTTACAAATGCTTTGGTCTACTGCAAATAACCTTCATAGATGGAGAAAAAACAACTTCTCCAGGGGGTAAATCAGAGTAGTAGCCTATCTTACCCTTTCGGAGCAACTTCTCTATTGATTTGAGGATGCAGATCAGAGTGTTAGCCGGTTGAAGTTAGTATGATGTCTCAACCCATTGACAGCCTGATACGAAGAAAATACTCCAAATTCTGTTTTCTGTCTCACTGATAAATTTATAAGTTAAACGCACCAAATTCTCACATATGAAAGAGACATCCACTTCAAAGTGTGAACAAAAAGTCCCTGTAAATAAGCAGACAGGGTACTGCATACATCATGTTAGTTAATTCATTCAACAGAGGCTCTGTTCTTCCTCAGCTGCATCATTCAGTTATTGCCAAAGAATTTATGTAGGAAACCTAAAAGAATATATAGGCTAAATTCTTTCTATGTGAATTTTAGAAACATAAGTGGTGGATTTGACTAAATTACAGTGTTGGAAGGGAGAGAATGATAAAGGCCAAGGAAGGATTTCTGGCAACCATTTTTCAGTTTCAGCCTGTCTGATCAAACTATTGACATATGTGTCCTTAAATTTTTTCCATGTTTATTTTTAACTGTTCTTTTCTTTTAGAATTCGGCAAAAGCAAAAGGAAGGAGGCACATATTCCCCACGAGATGCTGAAATTATTGACACTAAGTTCAAACTGGATCAGTTGATCACAGTGGCAGACCTGGAGCTGAAGGATGAGAGATTTACACGGTAAGCATACTCCTGAGGCAAAACAGTAGTCCAAAGGGGCTGTAGCCATGACCCCTTTCTGACCTTTGCTTGTTTGGAAGTGTTTGTGGTGTTCTTATTTACACAGGTCACTGAGATCCTCTTTCAAAGAATGACCTCCATCCTCAAGACACTTCTCACTAGCTTTTAGAAAATCACTTAATCTTTAGCTCTTTTTACAGCAAGATAAAGATCTAAGTGCAAATCACTGTTTAATTGTGTTAGCAAAAAAAAAGGGCTACGTATTTTTAAACATGCAGAATTTCTGAGGCTTTTTGTTGGCTCAGTGTTTTGTGTAAACTGCACACCTACATAAGCATTTGGAAAGAATCAAAATCCCCAAAGTCCTGGTCAATTAATTCTAGAAGAAATCTGTCACTGTTTAATTGACATCTACAAAGCATTTTATTTCACAGGGGGATTTGCATAATATCTGGGTTTCAGTGGAGCTCAGCACACTGGCTATCCTGACATCTGCTCCTTTAAGGTGTATGCAGCAATTCCAGGCTATTCGTAATCTCTGTCTGACAGAGAATCCTGCCACAGATATTTATCAGAAAGAAAATTGATCTTTCTGACTACCAGAAATACAGATATTATTCACAGAATAAATATAATGATTATTCTCAATAATATATGACATCCAGCTGAGTTAGAAATGTTTGGTGGACATCCTTTATCTGCCTTCTGTGTCACAGATGAAACACTGTGGTAGGCAGTCTCCTTAAAGAAGAGAAGCCTAAAATAGTCTTGCCCTAGCAGTCAGACATCCTACTGTTGCAGACTAGGATTAACTAGAAGATGAAAGGTTGTAGTTGTTGATCTGTTTTATTTGAGTCTGTATATGTCTATGCGTGTGGTACAGAGTAAGTTAATTGCATGTACAAACCTGTACAAAACAGTGTACACAGGAATGGCTGCTTGTAACAGATAGAATCATAGAATCAATGGCCTAGGCTGAAAGGGACCTTAGAGATCATTTAATCCAGCCTCCCTCTTGCCAGGGACACCACCTCTCGACTAGATCAGGCAACACATGGGGACCGAACAGGGGAAAGCATGTCATGAATCATCTGGAAATTGTCGATGTAATGGATGTGGTATGTTCCGTGTAGGGCATGTGTCATTTTGATAGCCTTATTTAGTACCTGCTCATAAGAGTGGAAAAATTCTCTGAAGACAGAACCATTGCCGATGCACGGTGATAATCGTGATTCGTATAAAGGATCTTGATGGATCTTCAAAATGTGCTTGTTTCCAAACTGTTAGCTGAATGTGAATAGTGCTAATTTTGTTGACATACTAAAGTGTTAATGGATTTTGCTTCCAGATGCTCTTCATTTTTCTTTAGACGCAAGGAGATATTTGTCATCCAGTAAGTGTTTATATTATTGATGCCACATGGTGTGTTTTCAATTCTGTTCTCTTAACCTGTGTGCTACCATACTATACTGAATGATATAGTTAATCAAAATGAATACTAATGATAAAGAGTAGTATCTGTCATCATAAAATCATGTTTCTTTTTAGTCCTTGATGTTAAGGTACAGCAGTTCCACAACTATTTTGAAATAAATCATGTCAATTTTTACATGGAAATGATAACAAATTATGACAATACAGCACCGACATATACAACCTATCCTTGAAGCAGATATAGTGAAAGTGTGACATACAAACATGCTGTTTCTTTTGTTTAGCACTTAGAATTAAAAGAAGTTCCCCTTTTTTTCTAAACTGCCTCTTTTACTCACACTGCAGCTGTTTTGTACTATGCCACTGCAAACACAGCAACGTATCCACACAGTCGAGTTTTTTACCACTTTGCAGAATACTATTCTGCTACTTTTCTGCCTAAATTATGTGTAATTTGGATTTGTACAGGGTAATTACAAACTATAATAGTTCATACTTACGTATGGTTTATTATGTGATTCATGCACAGCAAGGCCTTTACTCAATAGTGCTTGAGCAGTTTTAGTTGCATCACCCTGATTTTAATGACTCAGTCTCACATTTTGTTTTGCAATTTGTCACATCTTTCCATGAGTATTTTTTCTCTTTCCTTCTTTCCTACTTCCTTAGTGGCCAAAAGCAAAGACTCTCTTCTTCTGCCATTCTTAGAAGGTACAGATGCAGCTGTTAAATTTTTTATTATTCTTCTTCAAACAATAGTGGCACTGAAGCTGCAGCAGGCTCCTTGCCCAGGTCCTTTGTTGGACATTATGACAAATTGTTAAAGTTTGAGGTGCAGGCACTAACTGAGAGTTCCTCATGACAGGATTCATGCCATCTTTTCAACTGCAAGTCAGTAAACATACTGTGGGACCCAACTAGATAACGTACATATAGTAATGAGGGGCAAGATATAATTTATCTGCACAAAACTTTTTATTTTATTATGGCTTTTAAAAAAAAAACCAACAAACTTTAAAGAATGTTTCAGCATCTGTAAGATTCTGTTCTGGTAGTATCAATGACCAGAAAGAGACAATTTGGGTGTCTCTAATGCTGTCTTTCATAGAGATATATCCTTCTGAGCAATGACAAGAAGCTGGCAGAAGCATGGCAGCATGCACCAAGGCAGCTTACTGCAAAACCTAATGTCTAACATATTTTTGCTGCCCATTTTCAGACTTCCATGGTTACACTGTGAAAGAACTTTTGTACCTGTTGCTTTGTTAAATAGCTGTGTAGAAGTCAACCACAGTCCCAGTTCTTGTATTGTCGTTATCATTTTCATGATTTGTGGTTAAAGCAGTGACATGTTGTCATGTCAGATTATTGCATTACATGTTGATGGCTACAGTGTAACCTTCACAAATTTACCACACGTTTGGAATGGGACTGGGCATCACTGCATCTGCAAAACCTACTGCCACACGTTGGCTTCATTCAGCTGTCTCAGCTGTGTTTGCAAACCTTGCTGTGTTGCAGAACGCTGGTTTCAGTGAATGGCATCTTGTAATTGTATGAAGAAAGCATAGATGGACTCCTTTTCCAGGCTGGCTTGTTGGTGTTTCTTGGATAGCAGTAAATCAGTTGGAATCTGGTCCAACTGAGTACACTTCCTGCCCTGAAAGCATGATGGGGAGTTCGTGTGAAAATCTTTATTGATAAAAGAGTAGGGTAGATTTTTTTTCTGTATCTACTAACCATTCCATTCAGTGTCGTTTGAAGGAGATGCTTTGGAAACCAGGTGCTTTGTCATTTCTTAGCCAATATATTATTTATCATGTTATCTACTATAAATCAGTAAAGGCAAGGACTTAGAGCTGACAGAGTTCATCCACAGAGTCAAGATACTCTGTCCTGCTTCATGAGATCCTTTTTGACTCTCTCAAACACTATCTCTTCAGACATTCGCTCATGCTCAGTGGATCATGGCCTATGATCTTGGCGCACATTCTCAGAAAAATTGTGCAACTGATATTTTATGAGGAATAACAAGAAGTAGGAAAAGTTTTTTCTATTCTGTAAGAATATGACTGCAATTATTTTTTATCATTCTTAGCAGATCAAAAATTCAAAATCTTGAAAAGTTAATAAACCAAAACTCAGCAAATGTTCAGTATATAGTCATCAAAACATTTTACTTCACACATTTTTATTATTTAGCGTGAATTATTTTGCATTACAGAAGACATTTAAGTAGAAAAGCCCACCAAATTTAAAAGTGCCAGGTGTCCCATTTTGCCAATTTTGAAACTGCCTTGAGAGTCAACATTTTTTTCAAATCAGGAAACTCATGGCAATTCTCAGTTCCTAGCAGTAATTTTTAAACATAATGGTCTTTCAGAAAGAAATTTACTTGAAAAACTTCAGTGTCTGAAAATTGCTAATATTAGCTAGCATATATATATATACATATACCATCTCTTAGCAAGTCTTTCCTAGACAGTTAATGGGATGTAGTTTCAGGGGGAACGCAGGGAGTTAAGTGCTGCTGAATAGAGCGTGGTGCTGATCTGTTCTATGAAGCCAAAAGGCTAACTTTGAATGTTTGGGACATACATTGAACTCCATAATAGTGAAGATGGTATGAGACAGGCAATGACAGAAAAAAGCAATCGTCATTTAACATGTATATATAGCCCATCAGTCTAAACTGGATTAAACATCTGTTCATTAAGCACTCTAAACATACATATGCTGGGGGCTTTCATCACTTACTTTTTTGTAACATGTCCGTAGGGCTTGGCAAGTCACTTTTCAAAGCAGATATTCATCCGCTGTGAATAGATCTTATCACTAAATTTTAAGGGTGCACCAAGTTCGGAGACAAACAAGTAACTTCTCCCTGTTCCACGTGCTCACCTAGGAGACAACTTCTCTGGCAACCTACCTTTGCAGCAAGAATAGAGCCATGTAGGTCCCTGTTTCTTAAAATCTTTCCTTGAGAAGTTGCACCTTGTGGTAGATGCTTTGAGGCTTTTGTTTCATTCTGTGTGAGACAGCTTGTTAGGCAAATGGGGCACAGATTTAGGAGAAATATTTCTGAATTGAAGGCACTGTAAGCCTTGCAAACACTAGGTAATTAGAACTCTTTATGGAAAAGTAATGTATATAAAATTATTATCTGATCCCATCTTTCCTATATAATGTGCAGTAGGTGTCTATATTTGAAGTAATGCTTCTGCATACACGTTACTTTCTCTCGGCCAGCCCATTTCCTCTTTCTTTGAGTGCCTTGCCTTTTGCTTCAACAAATTTTCCTTTAGTAATCAGCTATCAAAAATAGGCTTCCTGAGCTTTATATCCCAGGAGTGCAAGGTTCATGAATGTATGTGTCCTGGTACAACGGACTAAGTGATCATGTGTTCCCTTTCCTTAGGCCTTTAATATTTAGGAAGGGTTAAGCTCCATATTGCTTTCAATTAACTTGCTAATAATTAGTTTCTCTGTTGGTCCTAGGAAGTGTCAGTGGTGCTTATGAGTTAAGCCTTTTGCCTACATACTTATTTCTGGGGTTTTTTTCTATTTGGATGAAGTTTTAATTCCCTTTGGATTTCAGATGATTGACCCAGAGAGAAAGCCGAGTCTGTGTGGCAATATGGTCTTCAGTAACCACTGCCAACACAAATAAATGTCTTCTTTCTAGCTCTATCATAAGTAATCTGAGTGGGATTCAGATTTTTGATAGACTTCAAAAAAAATCCCACACATGAAACAATACACTGTTTTAAAAGGAAATCAGATTTAAGGCAATAAAGCATTCTTTATCTTAGAGAATGTTTTTCTTTCCTAGTTTCAAAGTCAGACAAGAGGGAATCTGGAATTGTCCAGCTGAAATAGGGAAATTTGCAAGTTCATGGTTTGATTCTAAATTGTGCTCATCAAGATCTAATGATGTCTACATTCTTATGTTTTATAAAAAAGACTGGGAATTGTGGAGAACAATATTACAGGTAGATGAGTATTTGTTTGTTGATTAAATACTATAAGATTATTGTTACATATTCCAAGTCAAGAGACTTGGAAAAAAAACTGGGTTTTGAACCCTGAAGTTGGTGAGCATAGCTCTGTCTTCAGTGACCATACAAACTCCTCCCTTTTGAAGATGCTTGTATAATGTAGTCAACATCTTTGCCACAGACTTCAGTTTACACATTAATTTTCATATAAGCATTTACATTAAAGCACCTTATCTTCCGAGCTGCCAAGCGACTGCGATGTGCATTTGCTACCAGCAGACGTGTAATATTTCAGTTGTTCTAAAAATCAGATTTTTCACTTAAATGCCCACAGATAGGTTAGTCCCAATATGTAGGTGTCTTCTTTAAAAATGTTTACTGCTTGTGAAAGATAATATATGATTATGCTTTTTTTAAAAAACATTAAAAAAATTAACTAGAAAGCAGCATATGTAACACTGATTAGTTCATTTCCTGAGATATTTCAGTACTTTACTTCCCTGCTTCAAGTGAAAGTAAAAAATGAAAATATTGTTGCCTAAGGTGATATTAATGCTGCTGCTTGTCTCTTACGTTCTTTGCTGTTGGATCCATGTACCTTTAGCACTGAAACACTAAATGACATACACAGGTTGCTCATGTACAGCATAGACGTCATTTTTATTCCCTAATAAAAAGACTGCATTTGCTTACTGCAAATTAGGTGCAGTAAGCCCCTAAGTGCTATCGATTTTGAGATGAGGAAAGCTGACAGTATTCAAAAAATTACTGGGATATCAACTGGGAGACAACTTTTTTTTCTGTTCTGTGCTTCACATTCAAAGGAAAAGGAAGTATAATTTCTTTGCAAAGACTGCTTATAATTTTGTCCTGGAAAAAGATTTTAAAAAAAATACTTTCTGCTTGAAGACAAATACATTCATGTGCAGTATATTGGCACAGTTATTATGAATACTTTTTCTTCAGGAAGCTTTAGCTCTATAACATTGCCAATATTACTAGAATGTGGTTTGATCTGCCATGTAATGCAAATAACGTATGTGATATGATAAACATCAGCTACATGCCTAAACTTTCTGAATAAATAGAGTTGCATGCTTTGTGGTCTTACTGCTCTCTTTTTCATTCTAAAGCTCTTGTTCAGCTGTCCTAGTAAGCATGCTGAGTTTGAACCTTTTTCTGTGAATTCTTGCACTTTGTTTTACTCCAGTGAGATTGACCCAAGGCTTTTGTAGCCTGTTTTCTTTGTTTGAAGAGAATAGTCGTAAAAAAGTATGTACCAAAAAAGCATCTTTACTAACTTTGAAATTAGCTTCTCTGACAATAATAAATGATTCAATAATTGTATTAATCTCATTTCATCATCTAATTTAAAATCCAAATATTTAAGAGTAACTCATAAACCTAAGGATTTTTAAAGCAAATTGTTGCTTTTTCTACTTAAATTACAGCAACAGTAGACATTTGTATTTGTACTATAAAATAGGGGTTTGTAATATTTTATGTAAGAATGTGTGATTCTTTGAAAGGTAAACACAGGAAACGTATACTTAGAGTTTTTTAAAGAGGCAAACTATATCACTTCAAACTTTTTTGTTTGGTCTTTTAGACAAGGTTTGTGAGCCTGAGTGCCCAAAGTTTGGCTTCTAAATCCATAACACTGAGACATTCTTAAAATAGATTGAGACATGATGTTGATGACCAAGTTTCAGGACCATCTGAAAGTCCCCTGACTATAGATGTTTCTGTAACATCTTCATGAAACCTGCTGTGGGATCAAGTTAAAGATTTAATATGTAGCACAGTGTCTAAAATTGCCACACGCCAGAAAGAGCAATGAATGTGTAAAAATGAGCATGAAAACAAGCACTGATTTTTAAAATCTTTAGCAAAAGAGCCATAGCTATTTGGTTTCTGCAGAGGCACATCAACAGCATGATTGATTCATCTCTGACTTATTTTAGATATCTGCTTAAAATAAGATGAAATCACACCATCGATTTCAAAAGGAATCTAGAGTGACTAGCTCAGAAATAGATGTCTGTATTTAGCCAGATAAATTCTATCCTTATCCTGTGAAACACCCCTTTAAAGAACAATATTGAGTACATAGTGTAAAATGAAGCCTGTCAATGTGCATGTAGTGGTGTGCTGGAAGTGTGGGTTTCCCTGAGCCCGGAACACTGCAAAATGATCTGAAGAGAATGATAGAAGCTGTAAATACCGTACCCATGTCTGCCAATACCTGAGATAAAAAGTAAGCAAAGCAGTCACCCAAGATATCTGACATATAGTACTATTTGAATCCATGAGAGAAGTAGAACTGAGTCATCAGTTACTCGAGTATTTAATCTAAAGCCTGTTTAACATGCATAACTTTGATTAACTCTCAGCTCACTACATTTAACAAAAATCTCTGTTGCAGGTTACTTAGTTATAGAAAATCCATCAAGTAAGTTGATTAAAGATTTTTATGTTGTGGTCATCAGTGAGTCTCAATGTGTGGTTCTCTCTTCTATGTTTATTAGAAAAAACCTCCAAGCTGCGTATAAATCATAAAAGCATGACTAATTGCATGGTAACAGGAGAAATGCTTTCTCTCTCTCTGGGGTGAAGCCTGCATGTCTGTGTTTTAGCTTGGGAAGTAATACAGGGATATTTAAACTCCTCCAAGTTTAAAAACCATGTCATTATGAGAATGAGGTCACCGCAATATTTTATATGTCTAAAACCTTGCAGTGTACGAAATGTTTTCTGTGCGACAAAGAAGTATTATGTACTTTAAAATGCGATGATAACTTTACAGATTTCCATTAATGTCAAAACCTTGCCTTGGAATGCTGTTACCTATAAAAACAATGCCACCCTACAGTACTGTTAACAATGTTAAAAATTTGGTGAGGAGGAACAATAAGGGGAGAAAATACTTTTATTTTAAGTGACTGAAAACAAAACAAATAGGCATGCTTTAAGCAATTTATAATTTTCTGCCTATAAGTATCAGTCTCTGTTGAACTGGAAAACGTTGCTTATTATTAAACTGCAGCTAAATAAGAGTAAAAAGAATGACAAAGATATTCCCTATTGGTTTCTAATTCTTCTGTCATTATTTTCAGGCCAATAAGCAAGAAGTCCTTCCTACAACATGTCGAAGAGCTTTGCACAAACAACAACCTAAAGTTTCAGGAAGAATTTTCGGTATGTTACCAGCAGTTGTCACAACATCGCAAGACCTTCAGCCGTTTCATGTGTCACATTTCATGTCCATTTTAAGCAGGCAAGGCCATGAAGGACTCTGGCCTTGATAATCAATACCCAATTACCAGGTTGATTGTTTAGAAAGTAATATTATACTAATTTGGATTCTGCAGTCTACACTGCAACCTGATCAGAATTACTCACCTAAGTGTCAGGACAAGACCATCTTCTTTAGACTACAATCTTTGCAAGAACACCGTAATATTTGTGCTTTTACATAGGTAGCAATGCATATGCGGTTTACCTGATAACAGTTTATTTAGATATAGTTTTCTAACATATGTACAAGTATATATAACTGCTTTAAATAAGTCCACTTTCCTGAGTGACCCCAGAAATACAGCTGGCATTTATTTTGTGAAATGCTCAGGCCCCAGTCATACTGCCATGGAACTCAGAAATTGGTTTCTTTCATAGGTTTCAGCGTGGAAAGTAAAAAGTTTGTGCATGGTACTTTGCTTTTTTGTTCTTTACAAATAATAGGTCATACTTGCTATTCTCTTGAGAATAATCTCCATGTGAATAGCCTCCATCTCCTTATGTGAGTAGAGGAACACAGCAAACCTGTCATTCTGAGAAGAGACCAGCTTTCAAAATATACATTACATATAATATAATGCATATATACTTTCAAATTTAAATCTTTATTTTTTTCACTATTTTCATTAAGTAATATTTTTACAGCTATCATATTTTTCCCCTGTTATTTCAGAATCTTTACAATTATCATTTTTAGCACATACAATCATTTGCCCTCACAAAAAACAATCTGTCAATCTCCAGTGACTTTATTATTTTGGATTTACCATGAATTGCTTGCCAGTTAGATTAACAGAAATGAAGACTCAACAATTGGCTTTTCTTCTGTTAGATTATAATATTTCAGTCTCTGAGGGAAAACCATCAGAAGTGTGAAAAGATTAATGGTATTTCCTACAGCTTTTTTGTTATGCTCCTTAGGTAAAATTGGTCTGGATTTAGTAATAAAAAGCACCATAAAATTCTCTGAGCAATAAAGTAAGGAGATTTTTTTTTTCAAGAGCAGAAATGTTACTTCACTTGAACAAGAGTGATTATAGTTGTATTATGCATGACTGAACAGATGAAACGTTTTACTAGCAATAACATTTTTACATATTAACATTCATCACCAGAAAGTTTCTAGTATTGCTTTCTTTAGGTGTGACCTACATTGGGTACAGCTTACAGCATTGTAATGCCTTAAAACTTAAACAATAGTGCTTTATCACTTGACAAAACCTTGGCAACCCATTCAAATCTAGACAAATACAACTAGTCGAGGCCTCTTTCAACTAATTTATACAGTCAACTCATAATCAACTTCTTCATATATCCCTTGGTCTTCCATTTTTTTCTTTCTCTGAGTTTCAACTTCCATGTTTCAGATTGTAGTGATATCTTTCCCAGATCACTTGTCCAAGGGTGGGCAGAATTGCAGGGTGGGTCCAGTCCCAGACTGAGAGTGTATCTATAGTATCAGTAGCACCTGTCTTATCAGATGAATAAGATTGACAATTCACTTGAAATGCCATCAGAAATGACAATGCACAGACATAGGCAAAACTAGAGAACAGCAGAAAAACAGCCCTCATGACCTGCATTGTTTCCATCCACATTCATCACTGTAGTTTCATGTAAATGATTCAAGGCTCCTACAAGGTGTGTAGGGGAGATGAGCTCGAGATATAAACCCATGGACCATTCTTTCTGAAGCACATAACCCTAAGTGTGGTGCTGAGCTTGCTTGGGCTCTCTGGCTGTGTCTTTACTAGTAAATTTAACTGAATATGATAGTTTACACTAGTAAAATGTTAGTATATTCCCTGCCCTGAATTTGGACTGTTTCAGCTAGCAGTCTTCCTGGACAATTCCGAGGCATGTTTTTGTAGGTAGAGTAGTCTAGGGTTCATTTACAATAGGCAGAAGTTTTCTGGCATAAATGTGACACTTACCATTTCACATACAGGAATCCAGGGACATTCCTGGTCTTATCTAATTTGCTGTACTGACCAAGCTGCTGTGTTTAGAGACCTCCAGGGGTCATTCTCAGTCCAGATGTTAATATGACCTGCAGGTAAATGTGATGCGAAAAGAATCTGGACCTCAGAATGGATCTGGATCCACATCTTGTCAGAAAGGAAAAGTTTAAAGAAGCCATAGGGAGCCACAGTAACTGATGGTGGGCACCACCCCTCTGATATTCAAACTTCCAGATTTCCAAAGGATTCATGCATCTCTCTGTACCTTTGGGAAATCAGATTTTTCTGTTAACTGGCAAATTACTGAAACAGAAATACTTCTGTAAGTGTTCTACCATAAGCTCTGTTCATGAATAAAAAAGTGAAATACCTCCAAATGTCACTACAGGACCACAAAAGTACTACAGTAAACACAGTGCAAATTAATTATTTCAAAGATTTATGAATGTGCAAAGAAATACCGTCTCTGTGACAAATCATTATTGAATCTGGGAATCCAAATAGTTTTTCCCCAATTCTAAAAATAACCATTTAGGCTGAAATCCATAATGATGGATTTTGAGGCTTTTGAGCCCTTGTTCAGATTTAGAAGCATCATTACACATATAATCTGCTTCTCTATTTCCTCTCTACTACAAAGTACAGTACAACAGTGCTACTTCTGTACTAGTCAACCGGCAAGCTAAGACTCAGAAGAGTGAGACAAGTGAGGCAAGTTAAATTTCACACAACATGCATGTGATACAGGATCCCATGGTCCATAACACCTGAAAAATGCCACAGGCATTTTGTCTATGTTCTTCTTTCATGAAAAGTTCAATGGCAGAAATTTTGTGAGAGGGTTCCAGCTTTCTAAATTAGAGGAATTTTAATGTCTCCGCACTTAATTGTGTTTTACCGGTCTTACCAGTTCCTGATGGAAATGCGGAGAAGTCACTACACTATGTCTGAGAACGGGGATCTGTCTCTAGGTTCAGTTTGGGCTTTCCAAGACTGAGGTTTTACTTCTCTGAGGGATTATTGAGACAAAAGGTAGAGGCAACTGAACAGATAAAAGAAATGTAGCTTCAGTATGGCAAAGGTTGATTCAAAGACAGAATTTTAAAATTATGAGTTCCTTTAAAGATATTTTACACAGTGTGTTACAGTCTTTCATTCAGTTTTCTATTTATTTCATTTCTGTTAACTATGTTTTTTAATTCTTTAACATACAGATATAAATGTAGTCAGCCATTCTTTATAAGGTGATTTTAAGTCAGAAACTTTTTTTAGAAGAGTTATAACCATAGACTTTTCATCCCTATGAAACATAGATATTTAAAAAGATTTTGAAGGGCATGGGTGGGATCTAGTCCCTTGTCAATTTTCAAAGGGGGATGAGCATCTAGTTGTTCTCTGCAATTCTTCCCCTAATTATTTCCCCAAGGAAATATGTATCAGAGCTAGGAAGAGAAGTCAGGACCCTTGCCTGAAAGTTCTTTGCTTTCATCGTGAAACCATCTTTCCCCTCCTGTTTGGAAGCACTTGCAGTTGCATTATTGAGGATATAATTATAGAAGTGAAGTAGTCCTCATGCTTCGGGCTATAGGATTTTTGTCAGATGGTGAAAGAAACAGATTTTTCATGGGATAATACCGCATATAATAGAGTTCAAGGATTTTGAGCTCTCTTTTATATGTCAGATATTATCCATTGCATAAAATAAGATATCAGGTTAGATTAATTATTTGGTTTATTACATCAGTTTTTAAAATGTTCCATTTTGCTAATGCTCAAATTATTCTCAATATCTGAACCCACAAAATAAAGCTGGCAGATTATTTGAATTAGCAATGAAAGAAAAACACTGGAATAAAAAACACTCCTGATTTTTCCATTTTTCATTACCTCTTTCCATTATTTATTTATTTATTTATTTGCTAATAGTTGCACATTAAATTTTATTTATAGAAGATAAACTGTCTCAAGTACCTTTGCAAAAGAGCACTTGAAAATAATTAACATTGAATGTGACAGTAGGGCTCTCTGCTCCGCTTTTGGAAGTAGCCCATATAGAGGGTAACTGTTAATATTTAAAGACAAATTTGAAGTGATTACTCAGCACAAGCAGCAAAATTTTGTATTGCACTCATTCAAAGCAATAGGTGGATGTCTTCATTTGTATTTTATCTAGATGTTGAAACAGACTTACATGTAACTTTTGTCAAACAAAGCAAAAATCCATTGCAGTTATTGTAGCTATTAGCTTAGAAATTCTGGTTAAATTATGGTTTTTCTGTGTTTCCCATTCTCTTGTCACCATGGTGAGATCAATGCATTTCTCCATCAACAAGTTATGAAATTATCTCCACTCTTTTACTCAGCTTTGGAAATTACACCTATTTGCATACACAAATACCCCCATCAAATAAGTTCCTCAATATGAATGATTTACCAGTCTCTGCCCTTCAGTAACAGAATTAACAACCAGTTATGAAACAGTAGTACAACCCAAAATAACTCTTCCCACCCCTTTCATAAGCAGTCCCGTGAACAACAGCTAATTGCCAGTTGTCTCAACTTAATTAAATTCTCATCAGTTTTCATGCTGTGGCAAGAACTCTCCCAAGCTGCAGGAGCCAGGAAAAGGCATTAGTCAAGAGCAAGGCTGAGTCACGAGAGCACAGTAACCAAGCATGTGACTTTCTGAAAGGACAGAAAAGAACTCCAAAAGGTGGTAGGCTGACTTCACCCAGACTTGTAAAGGTGAAAGTTCATGTAAGCTTTAATTGTTCAACCTGACAGCATTGTCTGCAGTGTTGCATCTAACGTTGCTGGTGTAACCGGGGTTGGCAGGGAGGTGGAATGCTCTGTAATGATTCCAGCTGTTCCTAGAAATGCACTCTGTTGCAGAGCTAAAGAATTCTTCCTCTTACTGGGTGATTGTGTCATTTTTTATATTGATCGAAGGTGAAATGCAAAGGTTTGCCAACAAACATTTGTTCCTCTACAGGAACTTCCCAAGTTTCTGGAAGACCTTGCTTCAACTGATGCTGATCTGCCTTGGAACAGGTCTAAGAATCGTTTCCCAAACATAAAGCCATGTATGTGTGTTTACTGATCAACTCCTCTGTTTTGCTCTTTACCATCAGTAGTGCAGCATGTATCTGGAATGCAACTGCATTTTTGTTTGATCTGCCTTTGAAATGGCAGCGCAGTCATGTCCACATTATGAAATAATTTTCTGTCAAGTAATCTGTCTTTTCATCGTGTTTTTTTTAAAAGACGGTTTTATTCACAAGTTGCTTTCAACTTGCTCTCACAAGCTTTAATATGCAGGTGCAAGAAACTATAGCCTCAATAGTTTCTTAGCTTTGTAATTCAAGCCATGTAGCAAACTTTACCGTTCTTCCTCGGGTTCTTTCCCTTTAGTGAGAAGTAATTTTTTAAACATATAAAATCCACATGTTTGTGCATTCAGCTACCTCAGGAGCCTGGGTATGCTTTCTTGCGGATATGCGTACATGTGCTGCAAAGGTTCCACAGAAGATCAGAAGAGTGACTGTATGACAATTTATAAGCCAAGGCTAGATTTTATCACAGGAGACAGGAATCTGCCTCTCTGTACTCAACACTGCTTCATTTTTCAGTTAATAAGACAAGAAATGTCATTATTATTTTAGGCATTAGCTGCGATGTGAGATGAGGAGCATGGCATTCCTTGGTTAATAATGCTACATTCTGTGCTATTAACTTTTCAGAGCAGCTGTTCCTGCTATCTGCTGCTTTGTTCAAAATACACTCTAAGTTACAGTCACTAAAAACTGATATCCATGACACACAATGAAGTATGAAGAGATAAGTTTCATAAATTTAACTTTGTATTCTGATTTTTTTTTGCTAGTTTGAGGACCAAACGTCAGAATTTGGAATGTTTAGTTTGAGTATTTACTTAGTCACACAGGACGTCTTTCCTGGTTTCTGTCATTTCCGCATAGATACCATGGGCTCAAATCAGAAACCCTGAATCCTTTTTTTTTGGTGTTTGTTTTCCCCTGTAATAATGAGCTTACCTTACATAAAAGAAGTAAAAGTATGCAAAAGCACCAGGATCTGGCTCAAATGTCTGATCTAGGCAGAAAGCATATAGGAAAGACTGTTGGACCCCTGACCCTGCTGTCTGATTCAGACAGAGGTTGTCTGTGCAAGAACAGCATGGCTGAAAGTACATGGACTACCTTGAGGCAGAGGGTCCTTCCACACATACATCAAATCGCAGATTTTGGCATGTTCACCATTTTAATTAAAATGTATTATATTAAAATATATCTGGAACATTAATGAATGACCATAGAGTAACGGGAATTAGTTGCATTCCCTTTGTAATTTGTATTCTACTATGTCAAGTACTGTTAAATTAGCAACAATAACAGTATTTTTGATTTCTTAGTACTCCAGGAGCGCTTGTTACATGCATCTTTGATTTTTCAACAAATCTTTTAGTTGATTAGACTTTATTTCCATGATAGATAATAACAACAGAGTAAAGCTGATGCCTGATGCTGCTGTTCCTGGATCTGACTACATTAATGCCAGCTACGTGTCTGTAAGTAGAAAGTCTTTCATGTTTTTACATTTGTTTGCTGGTAGAAGAGAGAGTCAGAAAACAACTTGCAAGAAGAACAGGATTCTAATGTTTCTTTCATTCACTACAGCTATTGTTGCTATGTCATTGTTCAAGTGACTCCCATGGCATCGAATATGACTAGTTAAAAATACAAATTATCCCATACTCATTGCTAAGCAATGATTTTCAGTAATAAGCAAAACCATGTCCAGCAAATTACTATTATTGTTAAAGACAATATTCAAACTCCCACTGAGGTCAGTTGTTTAGAGAGGTGTTATTTGGTGTCTTGATTCAGGAGTTGGAACTATTATATATGAACAGGACAATGTGATAACTCAACTGAAGTCTTGCAGAAATGGATAATAATTTTGGTGAGCAGATTGGTGCACCCATTATTTTGTGAAAGCTATGATGGAGGAAAATAGACTTCTGTGTCCTCAGTAAATTCTTCATCTGTATTTTTTATATCACTTTTGTCCTGTTGAAGCTCAAAGTGTGACTCATAATTTTGCATTTAATTTCTTGTAGCAGTGGCTGGTGGCCTCACATGAGGTCAAGGCTCTATTTACAGGAAGCACTATTCAAGCACATGGCAAGACACACAGACTGTAGTGTAAACCGATGACATAGTGGCAAGTAGAAATAGTTACTTCCAGGTAACTAAGACACTCACAGAGAATAAGCAATCCAGCTGAGAGCATCTTCTTTTCAGGAGTAAATAGGCTATTTATTCCCTCTACATTCCACTGAACAGTCCATTGAATAGATATTCAATTGAATAAATAAAGCTATTTATTCCCTTTCCATGAAATGTCATAGTTCTGACAGCAGGTAGGAAGAGCCACGCCATATCGTTACTTGACACTGGGACTACACACAGCACTACGGAGCAGGAGACCAGACAGCTCAGAGCATGGCCTGGTCTTTATCTTTCCTGTCACAGACTGACACGCCAAGGCTTAGGAAGGGAACACAAGCAGCAGCTTCCAAAAAGCTGCAGGAAAGGTGAGCTGCAGAGAGTGTTCCCTGCTGAGATTTTGCATGTCTTTACTACAGGCAGGCTCCTCACGTTAGGCCACTGTTCATCAGGGAACAGGCAGCTGTACTGTTACCGTTTCTGAGGGATAAAGCTTTCCCTTTTATATGCTCTCACTTTCCATATTTGTGTATGAGTAAATATATAAATACATATAGCAGTAAATATAGAGTATGTGTGTGTATTTACATGCCTATTTATCTAGGAGTATATACATAGGAATACCTATAACGAAAGGAAAAGAGAGGCCTTGTATGTAGTTTTAACAAATGGGAACTTGGCTGCTACTTTTATTTTCCTTGGTTAAACACGAATAAGTAACAGAACTGTGAGCTTGCATCCCTGAACTATAGTTTCTCACCTTTAAACCGAGGAGGATTAACATAGTTTCTCACTGCCACCTGTTCTATATATTACGGATGGAGTAAGAAATGGGCAGCTGTGAATTATAGGGCTATAATTCCAACAAGGAGCTTCAGTGGTGCTATAAACCACTGTGTCAGTTGTTTTGAGCAATAAGCAGAACCCTGTGATATTATAGACTGCTAGCTCTATGGGATAAATTTATTGCTATTACTGTTATAGTTGTGATTTTAGGCTTTCTGTAGCACATAAGAGTTCCTGTATGGAACGCTTAGTTTCTCTGAGGAAATAGATTCATGAGAACCCGTGCACTGACGGCATTTACACAGATTTTGGTTTTGACAAACTTTCTTCTCCCCAAGTTTTATATCAGTTTGTAAGTAAACTAAACAGTAGAAGCCCAAAATAAAATAAAACTCAACCCTAGCAGTAGGTTTTTCAAAAACTTGCTGTCAGAGCTGCTTTTTTTGAGTAAGCTCCATCCCTAAGTTGCAGCAGATCCCTAATGATCACTGGAAGGACAAGGTCATCAGTGTGGTATATAGCTTGCACTAGCTCTCAGACGGCTCCTTGGTTTTAAACTGACTCTACTGCTCCTTAGCACTATTTGACTCTACATTGTTGGCCACCTTCTGACACAGTTCTTGGTAGCCTCTGGCTAAATATGCAGTAAGGCTAATATGAAGGCTTAGATATTTTTAAATGGGAGTTACTGACCTGATGTCCTTGTAATTTCTCTGCTAAATGCACTTCTGTCAGGATGGCATTTCCCAAACTTTATTAGAGCATTGTTTCATAACTGATCTACACAGCAGAAAAAATGCCATTACTTCCTTAGATTTCCAAGGCCATCTGCTGTGCAATGGTTAGCCAGGCCAGCAGCAAGTCATTTAGTACATCTGACAAGGCTTTAGCCTTAGGCAAGGTAGCTACAGACGCAATTATGAGTCACATGCAAACTCTTTCTTTGCTTGCCAGCCATTAGGTATTAAATATTTTCTTTTTCTTCAGGGTTATTTATGTCCAAATGAGTTTATTGCAACTCAGGGACCATTACCAGGAACAGTGGGTGATTTCTGGAGGATGGTGTGGGAGACGAGAGCAAAAACACTTGTGATGCTTACACAATGTTTTGAAAAAGGACGGGTAAGTTACCAATGTGCCAATTAACAGCATTTGATAGAATTGGAAATTCTGTATGTGATTTCTATCAATATTGTAATATTATCATTGTTAAGTAGTAATCATGTCCCTGCAGATAAGATGTCATCAGTACTGGCCAGAAGACAATAAACCGGTGACTGTGTTTGGGGATATAGTGATTACTAAACTGATGGAAGATATTCAAATAGACTGGACCATCAGAGATCTAAAAATTGAAAGGGTAAGCCAGAAATAGAAGCTGATTGAATAAAATTATCCAGCACCTCAAAGAACATCAAATACGCTCCACTCCACCCAACTACTCCTCAGTGTTATTATTTTAAACTTTTAGTACATATGCATTGTACTGCCTGGTTTTCCTGCATTTTGTTTTCATTCCTATTTTGCTGTTTGTTTGAGGTTTTTTTCTGAGAATTTTCTCTAGTTCCTGTGACAAAGAACTCAGATATTTGTCTGACATGCTATGAAGGGCCTATCAAGGTTATTGAACCTCTGGTCTGGTGGGAGGTGAAATTTCTATTTGGACACCTCAGTTGTCTCTTCTAGAAAGGAGTAATCCTAACCATTCTGGGATCAGACAAATCCCTTTGAATGTATCCCTCTCAGATTAAAGGGCAAGATTCTCTGGTGTAGCACAGCTGTTTTGCATTGTACCACCAGCCATATTGGCCTCCACCCCCAGGGAATTCACCCAATATAAATGAGAATCATCAGTATTACTCCCACTCTTTGTGTTGGTGTACAGTGTAGATGTTCATCTTTGTCATGATCCACAACTATAGTTTCCACTCTTTGGAAAAATTAGCGCCCGGCATTAAGTCAAATCAGTAGGTAGGCTCAGAAGGCAATCTGGGCACAATGTCCCAAGATGAAGTCAGCCCTCTTTTGCACTCCTGGCACTGAAAAAAAGGAACATGTGCAAGTGACAAAAGGAACACAGCAGTTAGGGGATTGTCTCAGTGGTTACTCCACGAGGATGTGTTGTGCACATAGGACACTACCATTTTAAAATGAGTGTGAGAAGATACACTTTTATTTTCATCTAAAATTAGAAACAGAGTAAGCAAAACTGGAAAAGGGAGAGTAAAGATGCATGCCAGCAAAATGTGAAGTCACTTGTGTTACACAAGAAGCTATGTCATTAAATGTGCCATATTGCTGACTTTAAGATTGTACTTCATCTTCCATTGATGGATTCTTGATGATCCTCCAGTGAAGGTGAAAAGCATATATTAGGCAAATCATTCAAAATTATTGCCCTATTGCATCCAGAATCACTTCTGGGTTTATGTTGATCAATTTTAAACATATAGACCCAAAGTAGTTGCTGAACTTAATTGTTTGCAATTGTTTGGTGTTTCTTGCAGTATTAAAAGAGCAAGTGGTTGGTTCAAAATATTTTCTTTTTAAAAAAGGAATTGGTTCATTACACAATAGTTGATTAACTGTGGTACTCCTTTCTGTAAGCTATTGTGAATACCAAAAACTTACAAGTCTTCATAAAATCTGGATAAATTAGAGGAAAAAAATTCCGACCATCTCTGACTGAGGCAGTTGACAAGTCACAAACTGTGAAGAAGAGAAATGATATTCTGCGGAACTACAGATACATTGTTGTCCCTAAGATTCTTCCTTGGAAATTGTTTGGCATGATCTTCTGCTTTTACTCTTACGTCCTTCATAGTTAATGTAGATAGCAGATACCAACCTATTCTTTTCTTTGAATTACTATTGCTGCTACAGGTTGAGAGGGCATAAAACATGTTAAAAATACATCCGCATTTACCAACGTATGTGTATCTTCACTACATTAGATTACTTTTAGAATAACTTCTTTTTCCTTAATCAACTTGTTGTCCCAGTTCACTGAACTTCTATACGAGCTAGAGAAACTTCAACCTGTAATCTACAAATTACATTGATGAAATAAAATGGAGAGTGGCAGCTGAAGTCATTAATACTTCCTGAAGGATGGACTTGAGGCCATCCCTCAAAAACCCTTCCGAAAGATATGTGCGCAACAAAATATCCCTTGATACAAGTACATCTTATAATTTTTACGCTATTCTGCCTTTCTTTTATATATGAAATTGCTGAGAAGGTGACATATAGCTTACTGGACCTTCTGTCACGTTTCTTCTGTGAAAATGGTCTTATTTTCTATTTTTCAGCATGGTGACTGCATGATGGTGCGGCAATGTAACTTTACTTCTTGGCCAGAACATGGAATCCCTGAAACTACCGCACCAATTATCCATTTTGTAAAACTTATCCGTGCAAGTCGAGCGCATGATAACACACCGATGGTGGTTCACTGCAGGTAACCATATTCACTGAATCACCGTTTAGTATCTTAGAATTTCACTTGCATATGAATGCTCAGGGAAGTTGCCAGAAGAACAATGAAAACTAAGTGCACAGGTGTGGTCGCAGTATAAACAACAGCACAGGTTTCTCTGGCAGTGCTCCTTAAACCTTTCTAGAAGGTAAAATGCCAAAGTGTGCCTGTTCTTCCATTGGTGGAAATCCCACTGAGGTGATATCAGTGAAACAGTTACTTCAATAATTACCATAAGGTACTGCTGGATTTACCTCAATTTTCCTGTTTATCATAAAAAGAGGAATAGCAAATGACACATTGGTCTTAATTACTTATAACCATAGCTTTTCTTAAGAAATACATAATAAAAATTGTATTTAAAATGTACATGTCACGTATCACAAAAGAGGGAACTATTTGGGAGCCACAAAGAATGACAGATAGGAATAAGGGTTTGCACGTGCCAGATTTCAAGCTCAGATGCCTGTAAATAGCTAAAATCTATATTTAGGCTCTTAAATAAATGGACTGGTGGTTAGAGGTGTTCAGCTGTCATAGTTCCCATTGATCTCATTCTCAACACCATTAAACTGCAATTCCAAAGAGTACGTGTGTGGGGAAGGCCAAGTCTTCAGCAAAGCGGTGAGTGTGTCTGCGCTTGGCACGCAGGTCAGCATTCCCACAGAACGAGTGGGCACGCTCCAAAATAGCGATCTGAACTCAAGGGTTGGCAACTGATTCTTTGCCTCATTCTCACTCAGTGTGAGCCTGAGCACACGAGGAAGGAAAAGCTGGGTTTGCTGTCACAAATTTCTTCCCTAACTGTTAGATTTATCATGTATGGGAGTTCTTTCTATTTGTCCTCAGTGTCCTGCAGGTGTCACCCACGGTGGGTGATAGCGCCTCATTTTATTTGATATCGTTGTCATTGGCAGTTTGACATTTCCCTCTGCAGAGAGGCTATTACAGGAGAGAACTAAATGGTCTTCACGATTTGAGGACACTAAACCTTCTCTGGGCCCCCTCTGCAATGAATCCCGTCCCCTTTTCACCACACAGATACATGAAGGGGTCAGCATGGGCCACGTACTCCAATGCACGCAAATTCCTGATGCATATAAAGGAGCATTATGTGTTCTCATATCCAGAAAACTCATTCATTACTTTCTGCTCATTAAATCTTGCAGGTTCAAGAGAGTTTTGCTGTACGTTTCCTGATTACCTGCAGTGATACACCCTGCATTTATTACACCAATAGCAGAGAAATCTGATAGTGGTTTTGTGAAAAATTCTGTTCATTTTCAAACCTTTGAATAAACAACACTAGCTACCAGCCTCTTGCACACTTTTATCCTCCTTTTGAAAGTATTTTCATTGAAACATTTTGCTAGATCCCACGCTCTTTTGTCTCAAATATCAAAAGCCATCAGGTGGGTTTTCACAAAATCTTGTGATTTTTGTTTTCTTTGAATTATTGAGCTCTAGAAAATTCAAAGAAAAGCTGTAGGACCTTTTTTCCATGTATACAGGTTTGGTTTAGTTATATCTCATTCATCTGGTGCAACAACTTGTAAAATCAAAATCAGAACGGGGCTCAAATCAAGATTTTACTTGATCCCATTCAGCAAGGAGAGATACACAAAGGTAAATACTAATAAAGATTTAATTTTTTTCCAGTTTTTTCTTTTCACAATAGACTTAATTGAACTAGAGTATTCCAGGAAGGCATTCTATACTAAAAATATATTAACATAATAACTTTAGTTTATCTTGTGTGTTATATTTGCAGTGCTGGTGTTGGGAGAACAGGTGTTTATATTGCACTTGACCATTTAACCCAACATGTAAATGACCATGATTTTGTGGATATTTATGGACTTGTAGCTGAATTAAGAAGTGAAAGAATGTGTATGGTTCAGAATCTGGTAAGTTTTATATATTTATCTATACTGTTTTCCTGTTGTTAAAACATTAGTCATCTGATCACCTGATCTCCTGTAAAATAAGACTAGAAAGCTCATAATAATCAGCTGTCTAATACATTTTCTACAAAAACCTACTTCTATTTGGATTTCAAGCACATGCAAATGCAGGATCTGTGTCTATTTAAATTTATTTGACCGTGTCTTGATGTGCTGGAAAAGGTGCTGACATATTTAGTTTTTAGAATGAAATCATAATTTCTCAAACATTGATAAAGTTAATTACAAGTTCTGGGTGAAGAACAGTTTTTAAATAATTCTTTTCTCTAAATAAAAAAAAAATCCACCACTTAATTTGACTTTATACACTACTTGACTGTATTTTTTGTGTACATATATGTAGCATAGTCCTTCAAACTTTTAAATATTCATTTACTTTTGACCTCATTAATGATTCCACAATTTTTTAAAAATTGCTTTGTATAAAATAATGCCTGTGGATAGAACTAAACATAGGCTTCAGAATCTGCAAAATCGAGGCAATGGTGGTATTTTGATCTAAAAAAGTGCATTTCTGACAGACTTATTGAGCATGGATATGACTTAGCAATGGCCTGATGGTAGGGAAGTTTTCTGCTATAACTGGAGATCTGGGCATATGTAAAGGAGTAATAGCAAAATTAAAAGTTAAACCTAAATGCCCGGTGGAATAGAAATTTGCCTGTATTTGCATAAGGCTTCTGGCATGAGACTCCTGCAGGCCAGATCTAACCCAAGGCCACTGAGGTCCTTGAGTCTACAGCATGGCTTACCAACTTCTGAGAATGGGTGAGAAGTTTCAGGATGAATTTCCACAAGACTGATGGATTTAAACTGACTTTAATGTGAGGAGATTTGTTCCATTAGGAATGCAATTCTGCTGTTCGATACAGTGGCAGAATATATGAAAAGTGTGTAAGAATATACAAAGAATATTTAACTTCTCTTCAGCAACTGCACTTCAGAAGATTTTCTGAGATGTTCTGGTGACATTCTGTCATGCTGTTTCTTGTAAGGTGCTGTCCAATTATCAGTTGCTCTAAATTTTTCTTTTTGAAATGTTGATGCAGCTAAACAATTGTCAGGACTTTCTTGTGGAGCTGAATTCTGGGAGTACTTTTTCTAGTTGTTTTACACTCTTGACTAGAAATAGATTCATCTGAAATTAAGGGGAAGGCTGGAACACACTTTGGTGGGAGCACCCCGAAAATAAAATCTTAAAAGTAAGACATTTGATAAGATCAGTGTACGTTTTTATGATACACATAATTTTTGCGTACCTCTTCATTTATGTGTGTTATCAGAGGCTAGGAAATGATGTGCCAAAATGTCATAGAAGATGTTCTCATAGTTCTGATTTCCAAACAGATCAAGTACTGATCTATACGTTAGCTGAAATATCCTGAAACAGGTTGTTCCCTGCTCCCAGTCATTTTTAGCACATATTTGCAAGACTACAAATGGCAGATCAGCACCAAAACTTGCCCAAAGGGACAGCTCTGTTATAAAACAGTTAAGTAGTCTATGATTCAGATTTTATATAATCAGCACAGAAGATAGAAAGAAAAGAGCAGTTCTTTCCCAGATCTCAGTTTAGAAATCCCTCAGTCAAACCATCTGTAAGATCTACGAGTAAAATAAATAAAAACTGCTTGTTCTCAGACCTGATTTTTGCTTGGTTATAGCTTCAAATAGTTTTCCTTTTGCTAGCAGAGTCACTCTCTGCTACTATAGCCAATGCACACAGAATAGCCCACACGTGTGCAGTTAGCACCTCCGCAGTTAACACTGTCCTCACAAGTTCTCTATAGGGGATGGCCCACAGTCTGCAGTAACACCTGAAACACACCTAGAAATTATCTGAGATGGTGCTGGTGGATCAAAACTATGTGAAGGACTTTTCAAACAATTTGAAGTTTTCTGGATGATCAAGTTCCACCAGCTGGCAGTGTACCCAGATGCTGTTTAATTCCCTAATGTAGATGTAATTTCAATACTCTGGTACTCTGCCTAATGGCCTCTACATTACCAAGGCCTATCCTTGGACTACATGTAAAATCCTGGTATTTAGTGGTCCTGGGCTGAGCGAAATGAAATCAGTTCTGTTCAGTGATTTTTACTTTCCAGCTCAGTCTCTTCTAGAAGGCTGCACTTTCTGAAGTTGGCAGCCTGTTTTTGCAGACAGTGTGTGCTACTGGCAGTGATAACACCTGATATTTGCAGTCACTGCCTGGGACTGGGATGCAGAAAGGCTCTTGCTGATACTTATTCCTGTAGTGACCAAGGCCACGGCTGGCTCTTGTGTGCCACGCTGGGGGTGCCGGCGAGTAAGATGAGTCACAAGGAAGTAGAAGGTTGCACCTCTGGGGGGTAATAGACAGGACAGGTGACCAACAAGAGTATTCCATTCCATATACGTCATGTTCAATATAAATTGAGTGACCATGAGAGTTTAGGTCTCATTCTTCAATGGCCAGCGTCCAAGGAGGACTCCTTCCAATCTCCTCTTTTTAATCCTGATCCTGAGTTCCCTAATGCAGCTCCCTGTATCCAACTCCCTGCCACCGCTGAGCCTGGGGCTTTCCTGGTGCCACCTGCTCTGCAGCATCAGTTGTGATTGTTATCAGAGGAAGTCGAGTTCAATACTGGACTTATATATAGTTGTATGTAGTTCTTTATTTTTATCTTTTTAATATTATTTCTATTATCATTTCATTAAAGCTGTTTTATTTTTCCTTTCTAACCCGTAAGTCTCTCTGTCTCATTCCCTTTTTCTTCTCATTTGAGGGGGGGTAGGGAAGAAGGGATTAGAGAGTATCTGTCCATGGCCAGCTCAGCCCTAACCCATGACGTTAGTGAACTTTTAATTTTTTCTCCCACTTCCAATCATAAAAAGACTTTCAAATAACTAAGAATGTAATTAATTCTACTGGGCAAAGAACTTGTTACACATACATTCCTCAGGCATCCTGCATCACTTTTCCCTGTCAAAGCCAGAAAGATTTTCATTACTACATGCCCACAAGTTGCTGAAAGTGTTATCGGGCTTTGGAACATGTTGTCCACAGCAGTGGTGGAGTCCACATCAGTGGCGGTATTTAAGAGTTGTGCAGACATAATACTTAGGGATATGGTTTAGTCAAGGACTTGTCAGTGTCAGGTTAATGGTTGGACTCGATGATCTTAAAGGTCTTTTCTAATCTAGGCAATTCTGTGACTCTGTGAAGCAGCACTGTTTGAATGCAGAAGATGATGGAGCTTTCAGAATACGCCTTCTGAATTAGAATAACCAGTCTAATCTCCACTGAAACTTAAGATCTTCATTCTAGAAATCCATAATTGTCCAGTGGATCTGTTAAAGTTTATCATCTTGAGGGCTAGTTTGAAGTAATGCTGAGCTATTTCTTCAGTAGGAAAGCTATTGAAAAGCATAATGGTGTACTTCAGGGGCCTGTGAAAGTCTGATTTAATTACTCACGGCTCTGGAGCTATGACCCTAAAACATACTTATGTAAGCAAACGTATCTTATAAATCTAAGATACCTGAATTGAAAGTTGATTGTAGTTCAGAAACAAAATAGCAATTATTGAGCAGAAAAAAATGCGCTAATGTATTTACCTGCACAAAAGTCAAGGGAGTTACAGTTATTTTAGTCATCTGCATCTGTGGAGATATTCATCTAGACAAGGTCCCGAGTGATGCGATTTAGCCGACTCAGCTTAAGCAGTGGAGGATTGCACTAGGTCATCTCAAGAAGTCTCCTCCAATCTGAATCAACCTGTGATACTGTGATCTGGCCCATTTTCTGCAACTACGTACACATTACTTCTCCTTTGTGAAGATACCCTTAATCCACTTATGTTCTTTCAAAAGCATAATGTTCTTTTATTTCATTCTTTTATTTCATTCTTTATTTTGTTCTTATGTTGCCTTATTTTGTTTTCAGCGATCATTACCCAGAATTACTTTATGTCCTTGGAAGTGTCAAATTAACTTTAGTTGCCTACTCTTTGCATTATAGCCTGTTAAAAATGATGCTGCAGTTCAAGAATTATCACTAAAAATAATGTGATTATTTTCTCTTCACAATGTTGCATACCCGTAGAACATGTAAATTTAGATTTACTTGAATTTTTGCATTTGAGTGCACCCTGCTGGTTTTCCCTGTGCTAGAAAGAGGAACATTTTCTTATCTAAATATTATATTCATGTGGTTCAGCTTCTTCAGTCTGAACTAGTGGCAAAACATAACCAAAAGCCTTCCTATAGAATAAACATTTACAAAAAATTGTGGGATAGCCTGTTAATCTAATTTCATGTATCTTACTGGGTGTAAGGATTAACATGTTCTGACAAATTTTAACACATAATTAACACCTCATAATGAAATAAATCACATCAGATATGTATGCTGTAGTCACTGAAGTGTTGGGATCTCTCAGTTAAACTACAGTTGCTCTGAGAACATCTAGATGTAACATACAAAAAAAAAAAAAGAAGATTTTTGGTATTAGAAGTACATTTTTCTTCTAATCAAACGTCTTTAAATTCACACCTTACAGGCACAATATATATTTTTGCATCAATGTGTGTTGGATCTGTTAACAAGCAAGGGAAGTAGTCAGCCCATATGTTTTGTAAATTATTCAGCACTGCAAAAGATGGACTCTCTGGATGCCATGGAAGGTAAGGAGATACAGATTGTCTCAAAATTATTTTTCAGAGCAGGTGCATCGACTTTTCCAGATTAAGAAGCAGAAGAAAATACTTTGACATGCATTTTTTTTTCAGAAGTGTAAATTTCTTGCATTTTGCTTCTTTTTAGTTTCCCTCATAGTAACGGTAATTGCTCAAGCTTTCCACTTTTTTTCCTGCAAGATCTTTTAAACTCAGTCAAAACAGTTACCTGCCATTAGTTATTGTTTGGTTACTAGGTAGGTTAATGTAATATATCTGTTTCTTTTGTAGGTGATGTGGAGCTTGAATGGGAAGAAACTACCATGTAAATACTAAGACTAAACAGTAGAGATAATGAGATTTTGAAAGTCAGTCATATTTTTCTAAGCACAGGGGCCAAAGTGAATTCCCCTATTTTGATGATTATAACAAACACATATGATTGAAACATCTTCTATCAATGTGCCTTCATATATATGTTGAAATATTTTATTCAGATCACCTAGCAATAATGATTTGGAATACTTTTGCACAGACTGCAATAAATATGTTATACAAATACTGCACTCGATATGTATTTAAATAAAAAGTGTGTTTGAACATATTCCTTTTTTCCCAGTTACCTTTGTAAAAGAAGAAAAATGAGCCAAATATGATGTAAACAATTCCTATTCCAGTTGAACTTATTTTGGTGTGAATTTGCTGTACTCTTTTTTGCTTTGAAGTAAAAGCTACAGTTCCTTGAATTGTTCTTGCCAGATTGGTTTTGATGTTGTCAGCTTTCGCAGATTAATTCCAATACCATCACGGTGATCTTTACCTAATTGTATGTTCTTGTGTTTTGAATCTTTTTTTATGAGTGGTAGCATATCAGCTCATGATCCTGAACAGCTGAACAGTCACCTTCTGACATGGGGAGGATTATTCAGCTTTTACACAGCACACAGTAGCTCTTCAGGGACACTTGGGGCTATTTAAGCTATCTTATAATCAATGGGTTGTTTTTTTAAATACACAATGGTGATTGCATATGTTCAGTGCTGAATTTTCCTGCTACTTTTTCAAGCATATAAAACAATGTAAAACTAGAAATTGCAATGCATGTTGGATTGACTTGAATAGTAGAATGTTTATAAGTAATTCACACTTGTGGAATATAACACTGTTCAGTATTTCAAAAGGTTCCTCAAAATTATATGACAGTATTTTATAACACAGTGTTGTAAAGTAAAAAAGTTGACGCTCCTTCCCCAGGTTTGGAAAACCACAGTAGGTGCTGAAAAGTATGAGAACAAATATTTGGAGATTTAATAAAAAGAAAATTTTCCACTCCCACTGATTATGATTATTGGAAATAAATCTGAAATGGGAACGAGAGAAGCAAGAAGCTATTATATGAGAAGCAACACAAAAACTGGTAGAAAAGTAAGGCTAGAGAGACAGTTAAATTGCGTGCCCTGGTTTTACATGGAAGTGACAGTATTGAGTTGATATTGTTGGGGGAAACTGTTAATTGCCAGGTTTTTCGCTGTGTAAAGAAATGTACCATTCTGCATAATGCTAACACCGTGACCTTAGTCTGAGATGCAAAACTTAACAGCAAAGAGCCTTTGGAGTTTCTATCTTATATTCTGTTTGGATAGAAGAAATCCACAGCCTTGCTGAGGCATCAAATTCAAGAAAGTCATCAGAACCTGAAAGACGTATGCACGTGGGTGTTTTTGTGTGTGCACTCTCTGAAGAGAATGGTAAATGAACAAAACTTTCCCTCTCTTAACTGTAGCTATCACACAGAAAATGCTGTACAGCGTGTAAGCTGGTACTTTTTCATAAGTAAATGGCAGTAGGTGTTCAATGTCTTTTAGAAGCTGGCAAGGATGGTGCAGTGAAGACCCTTTATAATTTAGCAGAAAGTGCCAAATAGCTAAAATAAAAATCAAAAGACAGTGTTTGAGGAGATGGAAATGGTCTTCAGAGATATTTTGGGCAATCTGTCTTTCAGAGAGACTGATGGTATTGTAAACATCACCTGTCAAGCTAAAATGAAAACAATGCCTTTTAAAGCTGGAGAGAGGGAGAGAGAGGTGATGTCCACAGCTGTTCAAGTCTCTGGCAAAGCATTCGGTACAGCTCTAGTTTCATTTGGTTCCTATGAAACATGTGTTCTTCATTTATTATACATGTACTTTAAAGTATTCTGACAAATTGCTTATAGGGGCTTACAGATGTTTCTCATGATTTGTATTTGTAGTTGGTAGCAGTACATGCAGCACTGTGGTATGTGACATTATAGAGTCATAATCTTGTATAATCTTATATCCACAATGGTGTAATATCTGTATGTATGTCATTCCTCTTTTGACTGGAGAAAAATAGCTGAGAAGCCCATATGCAACTTACAGATGAACTCCAGACATTCTAAAAGTGCTTAAGTATTTTCTGGTTTATAAAATACGTAATGATGATGAAGATTCCTACATTCTCCTGCCTGTGGTCCAACACTACACTCAGTAGCATACTTGTCTGACAACTAGTAAGACACTAGAAAATGTGTTTCTCTTTTCTGTAGAGGCAAAGTGAAAAACTGAAAAGTAATTCAAGTTCACTGTACAATTTGATGTAAGGAATCTGATACATCCTATCTTGACATATTTTGTATTGTCTTTAGGGTAAAAGCCAATTTTTGGTGTAACCTGGCCACAACTCATAAGGTACACGGTCAGGAAAAGAAATATCTTCAAGCAACTGTCTCCAAGAACTGGTTTTCAATAGGAATACCACAGTAGTTCATTGACCTTCTCGTGTGCCTACCAATGATTTACAGGGACAGGGTCTGTACACCAGGAGATTCCCCCAGAGCTCTGTCCAGTCATGAAGAAAGAATTTCCACATAGTCTCTTGCCTCCCAGCCCTCCTTCTTTTATGCAGTGACACCCATGGTGGTGCTACTGACCAAACTGGAGAACTGGAGGCAAGCAGAATTTGTCCAATTGCTGTTTTAAGAATATGTATATGTAAAGCAGCACACCATTTTAATTTGCAATGTTGCCACTCAGTTTTCACAGATTCCTGGTGTTACTTATATAGCAAGAATGTCCTCTATCAAAATTAGACACCAAATGAATAAAAGCTGGAGAAGAATGCACAAATTCTATAGGACGATTACAACTGTATTGAAATCGGGTCATACTTACTAAATTATTTGGGCAATTTTTGTAGAGACTGTAGATGTATCTCCATACATTGAAGAAACTGTCTTTATATGTTTATAACCAATTCTGTTGGATATCATTAGAAGAAGCTACTGTCACTGCCCTCAAAAACTGATCTGTTCTATTCACCATCCTTGGATGTATTTAAAAGCCATATAGATATGGTGCTCAGGGACATGGTTGGGAAGGGGACCTGGTAGAGTTAGATAATGGTTGGACTTGATCACCTTAAAGGTCTTTTCCAGCCATAATGATTCTGTGCTTCTGTGATCTACAAATGTAATAGAAAGACAGAAAAACATCATATTCAGTTTGAATTTAAAGCACTTGTTTTATACTGTTAAAGTTGATAAAAATAATTGTGCATTCAAACTTATGCTTTTGCTGCATACATGGATCTGTTTGGTAATTTGATTTCATAACACTGTGAAAAGTTAATAATGTGTATTAATCTGTACAATATCATCTGTGTATTGCTGCAATTCAATGTATGCTCATATGCAGTTACTAAGACAAAGCAGCAAAGAGCAATGAATTGATCATATTTCATACTAAGGTAACATGACAGTGAGCTCCCCTGGATGCATACAGAAATTACAAAACCTCCTAGATGTGGACATGAATTTTCAGAAGTTCAGGACACAAAGCCCTGTGAGGTCTGTGGGTGGAAAAGATTTTTTCTGAAAATACTTTGACAACAAGTTAAAATAAAACTTGAAAGTATCTGATTCAGAGTATGTATTACATGTGTATTAAGCTTTACACAAGATTATTGTCCGTCCGTGGGTACGAAGAAACAATAAAAAAAGACATGTAACTTAATTTTTGTTTTAAGAACTGTGAAAAGTATTCAATTAGCTCTCTTTTTAAAGTATATACATAATATAATAATGAATTGAGGATTGTTTTACAATTAAGATACATGCCCATTCAGCGCTGCAAAACCTGCAATGCATTGAGCCCAGCAGACTGGAAACCATTTTGTAACTGGAAACCATTGACACACAGTGCTGGACATGTCTCTGTCATTCTCAGTTTTAAAGAAATGAGTCAGAGAAAATATACTGAAAGGTGATCCACTATTTCACCACTTTTCCATGTCTGTTGTGTCACCACTCTGTGTATGGTGTTGACAAGACAATGTAACTATATTAGAAGGAATTGTGAACAGCAATATGGATCATCCAAATTTAAATACTGCAGGCATGATCTAAAGGCATGGATCATTCTTTGGTAAGGTATGTATGTGGTCTTACTTCAAACCTTCTTTAGGAGTTGATTTCCAGATGACATTACAGAAAGGCAGCTGCATTTTTGCACTGGCTCTTGCCCAGAATACATTTTCTGCCCTCTCCTCTATGTGGCTATGGTTACGAGGTATGGGACAAGTGCAAACCTACTTTTGTACTGACTTGAGAGCTGAGCTGTGGTGTCAGTTGCCTGTCTTTGCAGCACAGGCACTGTATGCAACTGTAAGGATAAACTGGCTTCCTATCCAGAAGTTCCCCCTACTGCTATAATAAATTCCGATATAAATTTCCAGTTCAGAGTCAGCTGAGGAGAGCAAGATGAATCCAATGTATGATATTTTGCATGGCAATTCTCTTTTTCCAATAACTTTTCCCAAACAACGCTGAACTATTTGCTTGTTTTAATTATTTGTTCTCACAGTTCCCTTATCGTGTCGCCGCTTTCTCTGGTTCGGCTCTGTAAAGTAAAATGAAAATCAATGGCTTTTCAGTACTGAATAACAGTATCTCTGATACACTTCACAGACTCCACATCATCAGGCAAAGTTTGTGATTAAGTTGTACCTCTGTATTTCAGTTGAAAGACAATGTTTAGAAGATTTCAGTTATGTTTGGATCATCTTACTCTGCTTGTTGATTGGTGTTACCAGGGTGATCTTTTTGTAGGATGACAGCTGCACCCAGCTATCCACTGCAATCGTGAATAAACCATTCCAGTACTCTTTACGGTCAATAATGAGCCGAAGGAAGTTTTACAAGGATGTTCCTGAAATATTTTGCAGGAGATGGAGTGCTGAATGATACAAAAAGAATCCTTGGGTATTGGAATGCTAATATGCAACTAGAGCTCCACCATTCACTAT